TTGTTGCTGTTGTTGCTGTTGTCGCTTCCCTCTCGGTTAAGTAACACATTTTGCATACTCTTTGTTTGCCTCGCAATGTTTATCATATTTCAATAAACCAATTTAATTGGGCGCACGAATATGCCTTGAGCTGACTATTGTATAAATATATTTATTTAATTATGGCATTAAGCCTGTAGAATTACGCAATCAATTCAAGTGAATATTTAAAGCAGTTGTTCTGAACAATAGACAATTAGTTGAATGCTTTGTCCAGTCTTCAAAATCATAGAAAATTTAGTAAGCAGAGCTTTAATTAAATAGCAATCCTTCAATTTAATTAATAATGCCTTTTTGGTCAAAGCATGCTCATTATACTTAATGAAAATTATACTTTTCAAATAAAATATTTATGTATATATTTTATTCATTCATATAAATACAAACAATAATATTTAAAGCAAATTTTTTTATTTTCTCATTTACAGCATTCGCAGTGCCTCAATTATTTCACAAAAGTTTACAAAAAAATTCTTCCTTTGTAAATGTTAATGAACCCGTATCTGATAATATTTAAATAACAATAACAACAACAATGATTTTATTAACTGATATTTTGCGAATTTTCAGTGATTTTTGCAATTGATGAAAAGGTAAATTAAATACCCTTAAATGCAGCTTTCGAGTCTCGATAATGTTATATGCTTGAAACACAACACTCTCGAACATGATTAAACCTTATCATTTAACCACACACTCGCAGCAGCCACTCACACACCCGCACACACACACACACACACACACAGCCAGACACACTCTTTGAGGGTGTGTTGTGCCATTGTCAACAGTAATGAAATTTTCCTGTACACGAAACGAAATTAAATCATTAACACCTGAAGCGTGCGCAGCCAGTGACAACGACATTGAAGTTGCCGTCCAGCAATGGACCAAATCGAACATGACAGTATGCATGTGAATATACCCTGTAAAAAAAGAAGATGTGGAAGTAGTTGGAATGGACATTTAGGAGAGAGAGAGAGAGAGAGCGGAAGAAGGAGATAAAATGAATTCATTGCCTGGAAGTCATGCCGATGCCAAAGGCAAATATAAAAGATAGATAGGTAGAATGTTGTATATTTATTATTTCTATTAAATTAAGATAAAGCCACTCTCCCATTTATGATAGTATATATAGTGATATACATATTAAAAGTATAGATTATTATATTATATATTATTATTATAGATTGTATAAGCATTCCATTTTAGTCCCACATCTATCCCATTTTGCTTGCGAATTAACAATGCTTTTGGTTTTCAGTTTTTGTGCTGCCGTCTGCCCTGGACCAACTGTCATTTTGAAGTCGTGTTCACTGCCATAAGAATCAGCTCTAAAGGCTCGCAGGGTATATACATATATTTACACTGTCTGCAGGGGCGACTTTCAATAACATTTAAAATACGCGAACACTTCAGAGGGTTGTTTGTTCTCAATACTACGCATGTATGCGTTTGTGTGTGTGTGGGTGTGTCTCGCTTTTATTGCGCCAATAATGCAATTTGTTGACATTGGCCAGGCCGTGTTAATAAGTCGCGCAACGCAACGGTAATGCAATTTCCAGCTAGCAGCAAAGAGGAAAATGCCTTTTCACGACAATTGAACTTGGCCCCAAAAGGCAATTGCAAAAGAACTTAATTAATTAGCTGCCAAAAACTTTGCTTTGCAAGTTTTTTGGCCACAATCTGATACACTTACCACAGCAGGAGCAGCAGCAGCAGTGGCAGCTGCACTACGTTCTCAATCTAGGATAAATGAAAAACCCCAATGCCCACCCAAGGCTAAAGAACTTTGCGTGTATTTACTGTTTTTCTTTGGGATTTTCGATTCGGGCTGCCGTTGCCGTTTTTCCTCTTTTTTTGTGCTTTTTGCCATTGTTGCTGCTCTTAAGTGCAGGACAAGGACAACAAGGACCTGCTGTAGGAAGCTTTTGTGTTTTAGTTACGCTGCCAGCCGGAAGCGGATGCGGCAGCCGCAGCGGCAGCGGCCCAAGCTCAGGCCCCGGCCAGGCCAGGCCAGACGAAGCCAAAGGCAAAAGGCGGCTCAACATTCGAGTTGAGCCTTGTCCAGCTCTGACCGCAATCGCATTGTGGCATTGTCCACATCAATGTTGTCGCCTTCTACTTTCTGTACCCGACTCTGGATTAATGGTCCCGCCCATATCCATCTCTGCTGCTCTGAAGGGCACAAGAATTGATTTTACTTTTTTGATTCATTGCAGCAGGGCAGGATCGACACCTTTTTTTAGGTAGCCAGCAACAGCTGCTGCTACGGCTTCTCCGACTCCTGCTGCAAGCTCCAACTTCAATAATTGCATTGACAAATCTTTGGCTTTTGGCACTCGCACAGTTTAGAAACTTAGCACAAACCAAGCCAAATGAAAACCAAAACTCACAAAACTTTTAAGCACGCAACTCTAAAGAACTTTGAGCACACACACACACACACGCACGCATTTAGATGGCTCTCAAATTAAATTAAAGTTATTAAATCATCAATTCAATCAGACAATTAAGAAAGTTGGCAGTTGGCAAGTTTTCGGCCACATAAACTTGACGACACATGTGGCAAACCAACAGCTAACCAACTCTTCATATCATTCTCTCTCTCTCGCCCTCCCTCTCACCCTCACTCTGTCAACACTTAGTGCCATTCAGTCAAAAATTTGTTCCAGCTCAAATTTAATTTAGTCGCAAAATTCAATTTGTGGCTGACAGCGAATAAAGTCGAAGTTTCAACACTTCATTACGCTGCATTCATATGGATTTTCAAAATATCAGAATATAAGTGCTTAATACTGAAGATTTTTAAGCTACAAAATATCCTGTAAATAACATTCGAGTTTATTTATGACTATAAAATGTTTATCCGATTTTAGAGAATTGATCAAAAGAAATACCGTTTCTTCTTATGCAATTTTTAGCATAGTATTTAATTGCATTTTAAATATAAGCTGCCCGCCTCTAACCATCGTTACAGGGTATATATAGAAACACGCGCAGTGGCCAACAGTTTATTAAAGTTTCTGTCAAATTCCACTCGGTTATTGGCTCGCTTTGATGTGCGTCTGTATGTGTGTTTGTGTAGATATGTGTATATATAAACATGTGTGTGTATGTACATTGTATATGTGCATGTATATATATTTTGTGTGTTTCACTTGTTATTGATTTAAATTTCATTAACGCTTTGACTTTTGTTTCCTTCGCTTATGCTTCGGCCCTGAGCACAACTGTCCAGCTGACAGTTTCGTCCGTTTGTCCTTCTGTCCGGCTGTCAGCCACTGCCGTTGTCAGAACAACTACCTCCGGGGCATATGCATTACAACATGTAATGAAAGTTAACAGCAAGCAATGCCCTATTCAATTAATGTAAATGTAGTTTAAGCCTGGGAAATGAGACACACCTGAAAGAGTAGCCAATATAATATTTATACCAGGCTCAAATTAAATTCTAAAGTCAAGTAATCAGTGCCAACTTCACCTTTAATCAAACTGCCAAGTCAATAAAAAGTTCACATAGAAATTCTTGGAACTATTTAGCTGAGCCTGAGTTAGTTCTAGCTCTCATTTACTAGAAAGCCGCGCGTGTGTGTGGGTGCTGCGCTTTTCGATTAGCTTAATTCGAAAATTCCAAAGTTCAGGCATTGATTGAACTTGTCTTGCGCCTGGCACTAATGAAAATAACGCAAATGTTTAGTGTTTTCCCTCGTCTTTATTTTATTTTACTTTCCTTCTTCCTTTTTGCTGGCTTCCGTTTGGCTGCCTGGCTTCGAGATGAGGTCAGGGCAGCTGACAGCAGCTGCCAACAGAAGCGTGTCCTGTCGGCGCCTGGCATGATTTTCAATTTGTGATCTTAATCAGCAGGTGTCCTGCATGGCTTGCGCTCTCTTTCATTGCTTTCCTTTGGCATTGCCATTCTTCTCGATTCTCATTTCATTATTTTTTTCGTTTTCGTTTTTTTTTTTCTTTTTCATTTTTGGTTTCCTATCAACATGAACGTCAGCATCATCGTCATCGTCATTGCCTTTTTATTATTATTTTTCATTCGGGTTTTGGCTGGCTGCCTACTAATAGCAGTTGTTGCTTTTCCTGCTTTTGCTGCTGCTGCTGCTGTTGCTGCTGTTGCTGGCCTTTGTTCGCTCTCAACGTTCGACGTTGCTAGGCATTAACTTTTGTCATTTTGAGCACCCCTCAGTCAGTGAACAATGCATTGTGAATGGCCAGGACCTGGCCGAGGACCTAAGGCCTCCGCTTGACCCCCTCCAGCAGCATCCCAAACTAAAGTCTAGACTGGGCTGGCCGGTGCTGCCAGTGCTGCCGGTGCTGGCAGAGGCTGCCCGCTGCTTTTGGTCTGCTGCTGTGTTCATTTAATTAAATTACACCAAATTGTTCGGGTCGTCCTTTCATTCAGCACACAGCAACAACAACAAATCGCATAAAATGTGTAGAAAATTACAAAATATGTTGGCCTGCAAAAATATTTGCTCAATGCCTGTTGCCAGTTGTTCTTAAAGTGTGCGTAATTGTTTTGCCTATACTGCTTCACCCCCACCTGTCTCTCTCTCTCTCGCTCTCTCTATCTATCACTCTCTGGACCTACTCGCCCGCCCACCCCTCAATTGGAAAACAATTTGGTTTTTAAATTATGTGAAAGACATGCAGAGAAAAATGAGCATAAGAAATGCCGCATAAATAATACAAAAATATTTATATTTTTGGCCAACATATTCGAAAGATATGCGTAACAGCTGTGCCAAATGTGTTTGTGTTTGTATTCGAAGTCAAATTGAAAGCACTGAATGTGTGTGTGCTGTGTCTCTGTTGGTGTTTGCGAGAATTGCCGTCAATTTGCTGTTATCAAAATGCAATAGACATTTGAATTGCGCTGCGCAAGTAAACATAAAACGTTTTCTCCTGCATTTCGCCAATGTAAATTTTAGAGAGTATAAATGATTTTACAACCTTTATTTTATATCTGCAATTGCTTAAGTGAATAAACATTAATCTGATCAAATTTGTACTATTTATGTTTCAATGTGTCTCTACTTCTACCTCATCTCTTTGCATTGGCGATTAGCTGTTGCTACGGATTTTTGGAATATTTGGTTATTACAGGCTGTTCCACTGCCAACTCATACGCACACAAATTCGCACGCCAAAGCTGGCGAAACTTTTATAACAGGCCCGACAAATACTTTTCCCTGTACTATGGTCGAGATTCAAAAAAATGTAAACACAATTCTGTTAATTCAAAGGAGAGGATTATTCTATACAAAATAGTCTTAATATGGTGATTGTCCATTCTATGTTAAATGAAATGATAATTCTTATTTTATTTTAATTTCAAATTTGGATTATAAAATAAGCACAGCTCATCTTAAATTTAATTTAATAATTTTACAAAATTTAGAATCGATTTGCAATAACCAAATTTGCATATACAACGTCTTTTAAGGTTTTTATTTTAAGTAAATAATTAGGTCAAGTCACATCGAATCATTATTATAATTGATTTATTATTATTGCTGATTTCAAAATTTCGGCCTCACTTCTTGAATATAAAATTTCCAACCCACAGTGCGTGGAGGGAGTACAGCTGGGCAAATGCTTTACGTTTTTCGTTGCCTACTTTTTGGGGCTGGTGCTTTGGGCACTCCGCAATGCTCGCAATCAAAATCATAAAATATAAGTTTGCACTGCGTAAATTTCGAGTGTTTGCCGCAGCTGCCTAAATATTTTTTAATTTGCATTGTTGTTGTTGCTGTTGCTGTTATTTTGGCGTTGGCATTTGGCAACTGTGCGCGTTAAAGCTCAAGTTATATTATTTTGGCAAAAGTTCTTCATCTGCCAACTGTTGCCCCAGCAGGCGGCGCATAGTGATTAATCATAAACAAAATTCACTTGAAACGCAGCTGCAGACGTAGCCCACAAACAACTGGCACACACACACACACACACACACACACATACCCATACCCATCTATATAAAGCTCTGTCATTCGAACAAGAGTTGACGAAAAAAAAAGAAGGTAAAAATGGATAGAAAAGAGATAAAGGCAGGTAACTGACGGTTTGGTAGCTGCGGCTCTCATATTGATCAATCAATGTCAGTTGGCTCCTGTTGCAAAATCTATAAGCAATATGATAACCATTTGGCAATAAACTCCAACGTCTGACTGTCTGGCTGGCTGGGCATCTGTGCCATTGTCTGCTGGCGTTGTCTTTGCAACACTTTGAGTGATTTGATATGGCGCATAACTGCAGACAGACACAAATACACACACACACACGCCCATTTGCTGCTAAACCTTTGATTGAAACAAATTTCCAATATAACCGAATGACAGATGCGACGAAAAGCGACATTTTGTTTTCGCCGACTCCTCCGGCTGCCTTTACCCTTCACTCGTTTACATCCCCATTTTTTTTTTTTATTTTGTTACTTTGACTACCTTTGGCTGCTGCGCCAAAATGTGTCACTTTTTATGAGCGATCATTTGTATTTGCCGCCCGACGCTGCCTCTCTCCCTCTGTCTCTTTCTACTTATTCTATGCCAATTCTGTTGCACCCCTTTGTGGCACTTGTATTTGTTGTCGCCTGTTTCCCTCTCCCTTTTAGTCTCTGTTCCTCTTTTTGTACTCTGTAATGTTATGTTTTTGACAAATTTACGTTCAAGTGTATTACTTTTTATTGCTGTACTTAATGCTCTTCTCTTGTTGCTGCTGATTAATTAATTGTTGTTTTTTTCTTCTGCTGCTTGTTCGCATCTGATTTGCTTCCCATAGCTGAGACTCAATTAATTCCCAATTGTTTTTTTTCTTGATGAGATCTTTATATATTTTATTCAATCACAATGTTTATTTACTTATAGCTGCGTTTCGAAATTGTTCGTAGATCCTGTCCTTGATCCATTCCCTGCCGTAGGGAGCATAGCTGCGCGTGCTCTTCTGATACACCAGACAGCTTATATCCACGAGGGAGTCGATGAAGTCGAACAGTTGCTTAATGTCATACGTTATGGATGGCATATTGGGGTATTTACGCTTCAGGTGCTCCTCATAGATATTGCAGACAGCCTCTAAGCAATCATCCAGCGTATTGAACTCGCTGTAGGTGCGCGTCTGTGGACTTTTCTTCGGGTGCACCAACAACACGGTGTGCGACATGGCAAACAATTTCAAAATAATCTAGGAGAAATGTATATTAATTAAATTATTTTATAGAAATATAAACACACGCGTACCTTTCGATATCAGATTAAACCACAAAGTGATTCGCTTGATATTTCCATTGAAACTAAATTATCTTTTAAATAATGGCCTACTCTTATTCCTTAGCAAATTTGACAGCGATGTTTAGAGCTGGCAATGAAACTAAAAATATATCGAATTGCAACTTAAAGACGAGTTATCGATAAATCAATA